CCTCCTCGGCCTCCCAACGTGCTAGGATTATAGGTGTCTTTCACTGCACCAGGTTTATAGTCTAGGATTGTTAATAATATTCTGCTTGCTCACAATGACAATTAGAATTGTATTTGTATAAGCATTGGATGTTCTAATATGACCTAGGGACACCATTCAACAACAAACGAGCAAAGGCAACAAGACAGAAGACCTAAAATAAAGATGAAATGTGTATATTTAATGCCTACAAAGGACAATGGCCAAGAAAACTTATTATAGAGAAGGATGATAGTATCTTCATCACTTTTTACTCTCTTTTCTGAATGTTTATCATAAAACTACTCCATGGTACCAGCTATTATTCAAAAACATTGTAGTAGGACTGCAATGAATATTTTCTATAAGTCAGTAGATATATTCAAGAATATCTGAGTAGTCAGTATTTATCATTCGATGATTTTCTCATGAATTGTTAGCAGTGCGCTACTCATTAAAAAATCTCAACTAACATAAGCATTTGTTCACCTTAACTAGTTAATTCATCACATAATAACTGGCATTTTATGTTCTAATATATAAATTTTAGGTAGCCTAATAGTTTGCTATTCCTGCTTTAATTCTGTGCCAAAGAATTTAAAGTGATACTTATTGTTGTTACCAATTAAGTATATACAACCTGGAAACTATCCTATACTACCTATAAATGTGGCATAAGTGTAAATATTAGTTTATAAGTCTTTAAAATCACTTTCTTCATCAAATCATTTTTATCCATCAAAATTCTGAATATGAATTGAGTAATTTATTTTTTTTAGATTGAGTTTTTCTGTCACCCAGGCTAGAGTATAGTGGCATCATCATAGCTCATAGCAGCCTCAAACTCCTAGGCTCAGATCCTCCTGCCTCAGCCTCCTTAGTATCTGGAACTACAGGCACGTACCACCTTATCTGGCTAACTTTTCTATTTTTAGTGGAGAGAGGGTCTTCTCTTGCTCAGGCTGAAACTTCTGGACTCAAGGGATCCTCCCACCTCAGCTTCCCAGAGTGTTAAGATTACTGGTGTGAGCCACCATGCCCAACCCGAATTCAGTGTTCTTTAAGAAGAAACTAGATTTTCAACAGATGTTTCATAGTAGGATCAGAAATATAGGAATTTAGAGTATCATCAACACTCTTTTTGAAAAACGTAATAGAAGAAAAGTTACATTTTAGATGATTAAACAGGAAACAGAAAATTTTTCCACAAGTATGGCCTTATATCATAATAGCAAAACTTAATCATTACCTTTAATTTAGTACATAAATTTCTGTACCTAAGAATTCAGATATTTTATATAGAGACAGAATCAATTCAGAAACTCTTTTCAAGACATCTCTAACTTTCCAAGTAGATACAAATCATCACTTTGAAGAAAGATGCATAAAAACTCTATAAATATTTCTGAGGTTGATAAATGGACACTAATAAATAATTTTAAACTTACTTTAGTGGCTTAATGTCCAAAAATGCATGAATACTACATATACCTATGTATAAGAAAAATACATTCTAACATAACCATACATTTATTCCTTCCCTCCTTACTACTTTAAATCATCTCAAGTTATTGGTCTACTTTCCACATTGCCACAAGGGTTATTCACTTAAAGCCTATTATCTATCTATTTTGAATGAACTCTAGTCAATTCAAAGGTTATACTTTTCTGTGTCTCAAGAGTCTTTCAGGATTTCTTGCCTGAGAAAATTTCACAAGTCATCAGTTGTATTTGTGTTACAACTAACATCAAAAAGTCTTAATCTTCAGAAGAAAGGTCATTCATTTATGTAAATATTCTTCTCCTTGTTTATACATATCGACCTCAACTGCCCTGAACCAGGTTTCAAGAGATGGATTTCTTAGAAACTTAGACTTTTGGAGCTGGAAAGGACATTAGAGATCATCTATTCCAATCCCTTCATTTTATGGTTGAGGACACTGAGCCCAGAAAAGATAGCCGAGTGACTTTGGGCAAGTTTCCTATTAAGTGGCAGAGCCAGGACTAGAAGCCAGGTCTCCTGACACCCCTTTAGGAGCCAGGTCTCCTGACTTTTAATCCAAGGATCTTTCCATTACACACACTGACTCTCTATTCTCTGAAGCTGTCTTGGGCTGTTCAGACTGATCACCTGATCACGTTGCTTTGTAAATGATCACACTCAGGAAATAAAATGCCTTTGATGACAAGTCTTGGGACTTTGGAACACACCTGTAAAATCAGGCTACCTGCTAATCAAACTCTTCCAGTGCCTAGAACATCTCAATAGTCTCTCATGGATCATATCATAAATTATAAGCTCCTTAATATGATCTTCAAAGCTGTATATGATCTATAATTCTCATGAAATCCTCACCCTGTTTCTGTGCTAACACTAGCCTTTTTTTTTTTTTTTTTTTTTTTCAGTTCTTCCAATGTACCAAGCTCCTTCCTTTCCTCTCCTGGAGGTTTTTATCCCATGCTTTTTTTTGGCTAGCGACTAGTCCCTTCTTTAGTTCTTGGTCTAAATCTAAGTTCTCTTAAAGAGGATCTCCTCACCCCCCCCCCACCTTGCTTTACTCACAACCCTTTGATGGGCATTCTAATTACAGCTTATTTTCAACAAGTCCAACTAATGCATTATACATGCAATGACTTATGTAATGACTTTCTTTGTGACTCTACTCCAAGCTTTGAAAGAAGTACTGTGTCCATTCCTTATTCATCACTCTACCCTTCAGTGCCTAACAGAGTGTGTGTGAAGCACAATAATCATAATAGTTATTATCGATTGCTTATTACCTGCCAAGTAATAATCCTTACCTTGCTCTAAAAATCATGAACTCATGAAAATTTCCAACAATCCTATCAATTTGTGTTCATTTATTGTACTTACTTTACAGATTATAAAACTGAGACATAGTACCATAAGACATTGTCCCCGTATCACACAGTAAATGGTAAACCAGGCATTTCAGTGGAGGCACTCTTGTTCCAGCATTCATTGTCTTACCAACACCTTATGCTGCTGCACACTCAAATACTTTTTGAATCAATGAACGAACTTATGCACAAACTCAAGTTAAAAGTTTCACTGAAATATATAAATGGAATATTAACAACCTATATAGTATTTTCTATATGCTGGGCACTGTTATAAGTACTATACACACTTTAATCATTTTTTCCCAGAGCAACCCTACTAGGTAGATACTACAATTTTTTTTTTTTTATTTTTAGTACGAAAGGTCTTTATTGGTGGAGGGAGGGAGGCTGCAGAGCAGCACCTAGGAGGAGAGAAAAGAGGGGAGAGAGATAAGGAGAGAGTGAGGAAGAGAAGAGAGAGAGTAGAGAAGAGTGAGGGGGAAGAGGTGGAAAAGAGAGAGCAGAGAAGAAAGGCAGAGAGAGGCGGGAGAGAGCTAGAGACTACAATTATTCCCAGTATGGATGAAGAAAATGAGGCCAGATAGGGTAAGTACTGCGCTCCCCTTGCTAATGCGTGGGGGAGCTGGGCTGCAGAGCCTGTGCTCTTATTCTCTTCTGTACTCCCATACCTGTGATTGTCCATATCTAAAACTAAACAGTTCAAATAAGCTACTTATTTAACACTTATTAGGGGACTCCAAAAAGACAAAATAAAGGGAAGAGTCCTTTTGATTAGGCTAAAAACGAAAGCCCTCTAGCTAATGGAGATAAAAGATCCTCTATTATGTGGATGAAATACCAAAAAATCAGAGTCCCTTTCTCCTAGTGGTTATATCTCCACAGTAGGGTGAAAGGTCTTGCTGGGCAGTATCTTATTTCTGACCTCAGTATCCCTTGGCTGAGCACCCTTGTGAAGGGTATACCTGGCATACCCACATTCAGTACCCTTGGTTAGACCACAACCAGCTGCCAAAGTTGGACACACAGTGAAGAAAAAGGAAACATAGGATAAAGAAACCGTAGAATAAAGACTGGAAAATAAACACAAAAGCCACGCAAAGCTTCCAAGCCACAGTAAGCAAGAAGAAATCTGCTAAAATGTGTTAAGATCTCAATAAACCTTGCGAAAATTTTTGATGAACAAAGTGTATCTCGCTAAGCTCTTCAGTTCCATTAGCTAGGAAGTGAAGATAATAAGCTTATGTTGACAGTGTCCTTAAAAAAGAAAATAGCATTGGTGAAATGTCTTCTTCAAATGATAAAGGACCATGCAAATCCATGTGTGTTCAATATTCGAATCTTACATCTTATAAACTCTCTGGGTTTTTTTTTTCCCCTCAGGTCTTAAATCAATTTTATTCTCTGAAAAAAAACTGTTAAGGAAAACAGTGCCACAATATGCGATACTTTCAATGTACGATTCCATTTTGCATATGGTTGGAATTTTATCCTATGAATATGGGGCAGCACAATAGAAATAAAAAGGAAGGCAGTTTTAGCACAAGGTAGCATTTTTCTCAGCCGCAAAACTGCTGGACTGGAGCTTAGACTCAAAAGCAAATTGGAAAGAAACATTTTAGTTCAAGGTTGGATGGCTCGAGTCCGTTCCTCTGGGCAAGCGATAGATGCCTTTGTTGCTGAGTATGGCTATTCAGCAGTTTTTGAAGGTGTGCTGTAAAAGTAGGGCACAGAAATCCAGTATTAGAAGCCAGATTTCCCAGGGACTGTACCCTGTGTCCAAAGTCAAAAAGAAAGGTCAAATTGGACAGTCGCACGAAAAGAAGGCCCAAAATAAATCAGACCGGCCATATAGATAAAATATGCAATTTGACCATATCCTTCCACATTTCAATGTCTGTTACTGGAATTACCAAGCACAGGGAAGGTGAGAGACAGTGGGAAATTCATTTAAATTTTCCACATGTTTCAGGTTTCCCAGATATAAAATCCACATAATGGAAGTCTTTCTTTCCAAAGTGCTGTCACATGCTTACGTGTAGGACACTACAGGAGGGAAAAGAAAAAGAAAACACAAAACCTGCTATCTTTTCTTACCAAACGAGATCTTATAACCTTACCTAATAGATTGGTTAACCACAAGGCCAGATCTTCTTTCATTGGTAGCAAATTAGCTTCATGTCTGCTGGCCAGCCACTGGCTATACTGATGCATATCAGAGAGGCCAGGTCCACTGCGTACCTTTGGGTTCAGAGCAGTGCACATTATTTATCCACTTCTAATACCTATTTTGGAAACAAAAGAACAATTTATGTACAGGCTTCTTTCGTTAAAATCCTGCTGTTATGACTCAGTAATGAACCAGATCCGTGGGTCTTTCAGTTTATTAATTATTAAACCCCGTGAAACACTGTTTGCTTTATCTCCACTGGCCCTCTCACTTTGGGCCAACCACTTGGTAAGCAAGAACAGCAATCAAAGGTCAAATAGAAAATCAAACAATAAGTTCAAAGCTTACATGAAACAATGTATTTGGAAAGAGCCAGCTTCCCAAGCGACAAATTTCATTTATTTTAACACAATGAAAAGCGGTTGAGTTAAAATGTTAGCGTGCAATTTGCTAATTCTCACTGTTTAGGTTAATATTTATAACTATAGATTTCCACAGGACTTTCGGACTGAACAGTAGCAATGACAGTATTTGCACAACTGAGTATAAACACATGGTCATGAAGACTGTTGATTAAGCATAGTATATGGTTCTTTGGAGAAGAACCAAGAATTCACAGACTCACAGTTTAGAAAACTGAGTGGGAAACAGGGGAGAAGGTGCATTAAAAGTGCCTCTAGGGCGGCGCCTGTGGCTCAAAGGGGTAGGGCGCTGGCCCCATATACTGGAGGTGGCGGGTTCAAACCCAGCCCCCAGCCAAAAAAAAAAAAAGAAAAAGAAAAAAACAAATTAAATAAATAAAAGTGTCTCTACTACATTCCTCTTTTACAGCCAAAAAACAAAACAAAACAAACAAACAAAACCAGAGAGGGTAAGTGGCTTCACCAAGATTCTATAGTTAGACCATAGCAGAATTGGGTTTGAACCTGAGTCTTCACCCTCCAATATCATCACTACTCTCTCCATAATGAAACATCTTTATACAAAGTAGAATAATCAAAACCCATATGGATAACCCAAGAGTTGTACCATAATTCTAACAAATACTGCTAGAGGCTTTTAATTGTCCCTCTATTGCATCCTTTTTCTTGCTTTGAATCTTTCCACTTTATCTGTTTTACAAACTTGGTTTTATTTGCAGTCATCTTTTGATTGGAAGTATTTAACTATAGTATATCTATAAAACAAGGGATAATTTCATTATCCTTATCATCTTACAAGTAGCATGGCCTCCTATTTGGATTACAGAAATTTTATGTCTGAAAATATAATTGGCCTTGGAATATAGCACTTTTGAATACATTATTTATAGCACCTGAGACTACAGATAAGGTATAGAAACAGGAAAAATAACAAAGTCATAATGTGTCCCAACATGTAGAATTCCACTCTATATACAAATATGCTTATGAAATAACCAAATGTGTTAGGACAACATGACAATGAAAATACTTGTCACGGGCACTAAGTAAGGCTTATGTGATATCGTAGAGTTTTCAGCTCTGTTTGATATTGATATTCTAAAGCTATCACTATGTTTTATATTCTCTTTTGGGTTATGTTTTTTTGAAACTTGCATAGTATTCCTTTCCATACACTCTCAAATCCTAATTTACATAGCCTGAGCTAATTTCTTTAATAAAAAAGAGACATTCATGTTTAGAAAAGTGCAAAATGTGACCATCCCCCCAGTATTTTTCTGAACTATTAGAAAAGACTGTTGGAAGTGTGAGTAAACACTAAGAAGTACTAAATATACAATTTGAAATAATCTTATTTAGAATGCAATTACTCTCCTAAGTAACTTTTTGAAAAAAAAATCAATATACAATTTGAAATAATTTTATTTAGAATGCAATGACTCTCCTAAGTAACTTTTTGCAAAAAAATACCATTTTATTTGAAAACATTTTCTACAGATCTGTCTAGCCAACCAGTGCAAATGTGAACCTTGTCATATGCCACTGAACTGTCAGTACAGGAATCAGAATACCATCATGGTTTATTCTTTATATGCATATAAGTCTTAAAGTTTCCTCCAAGTTCTGTGATTAAACAGCAAACACCTAAAACACTGTTCTGCCCAAGTCCTTTTAAACATACGTCAAGTTCTAGGAGAACAAAACATCTCCTTGTACTTAGAAGTTCTATAGGCCAGCCAGGCTCAGAAAGAAACATTGCAATGATAAAGTCATAATGTTTAACAACATGATTTATATACTTAAAATAACTAATTGAAATCTTAAAAGGGTTACCTCTAAAATGTCTTTCTTCTCAAGACACAATGTCTCCCACTACTTTCCTGAAAGTGAGATGTTGTCGTGCAGTAACTTTACCTACACCCTATTATGCACTCTGCAGCTTCCATTTAAACATCAGAGTCCTCTTTGCTCTGTAAAAGGCAAGAAGACACCTCAGATTCTTAAGCTCATTGTCCAGCAAAGAATTCATCAAGGGATAGTTTACAGTAAGCCTAATGGCATGTAACAATTTCAATGAGCCAGAGGGACACAATCCTTCCCCTCAACGCTTCTACTAAACAGTGAAGTTTTTATCCCCCTTGTCAGGGGCACATTTATTTCTCGTGGAATCTGTCCTGTGTGCTGCCAGAAATGTAACTCAAACTAACTTCTAATATTCACAGACGATCATTCAGCAAAACCAGTCAGAATAATTAAGCAATTTTTTTGCCACTTTGTATTTTAGTGGTAATAAAAAGCAAAATACAATGACATTTTCTCAAGAGGGAAAAGTGACAGAAAGAAGGCTGAGTGGGTGATTAACACGCTATGAAAATTAAATGTATGACAGATGTATAGAAACCGAAAGTCACTGCCATGGATTGGGACTCTTCTGTTTAAGTCCCTTCTGAATAGAATTAGGGTTGCAATCCAATCCAGTTTCTCCTGATCCTTTTTCATAGTTCGAATCACCACCTAACTGAGCATGACTCCACAGCTTAGCCAAAAGTCACTACCTGGAGGTCTTGGGTTTAGATTTGGCTCAGACATGAACATGAAACAGAATTTGGAATATGGAGGATTTACCCCAAGGTAAAGTAGTTTGCACTGGAAGAAATTATAGTGAAGAAATGGCAAATAAATTTATATTATCCAGAAAAAAAAGACCACTATAGAATTGTACCCTTCTTAGACTTAGTAATAAATGTTTGATTGATCTAGATGAGTTGAATTCATTCTGAAGAACAAACTAACAGATCACTTCACTTCTTTTGAAATCATTCAAAAATTTTCAAAATTACAAGAGATGCCAGGAATAATTTTTTATAGATGGGACATGAAATGATAAATGATTCACTAGACTGGAAGCAAAATATTAGGTTAGGGAGGGGAAAAAACATTTTTTGTAATATGTCTAAACACTGGACAATGTCTCAAATACAATTTGTACAATCAAAATATTGGAAAAGCTTGATAACCTTGGAAAGCATTGAAATCAAACACTTTGGAGAGAGGCATGAAGACTGAAAAAGCTTCTAGGGCTCCTCCACACTTTCTGGGTAGATCACTAAAAGTGGATAACTCAGCCCACAAGGCTTGGTATTCAGAAAAATAAAACTTAAAGTGAAAAACATGCAGAAACTTAATACAAAATCCTTCAAAGACTGCCTGTGTATATATATATTTTTCTTTCTTTTCATAGTAGAAGGGATTCTGGAATAACAATTATGAATATGATGAGACTTGAACTAGCCCAGGAGAAGAAGGAAAAAGATTAATGACTCCATAAGTAAAATATCACATGTTTGAAGAGTGTCTACTTTGTGGTTCCAGAATCCCAGCTGAAGACATCATTGTTTTGACTCGGAAGAAAAAGTATTCTCCCCTGCCACCTAGAGGTGTGCTTTAATGGTGACCACAATGATTTCTGGCTTACGTCTAGACTTTGCTGACAAGTTAGAGAAAAAGTACTGCAAGATTACATAGAAAATAAATCAGTAATCAAAGCAAAATTAAAATGATGAAAACTTACCACTGCTATCGACTATGAGATTCCACAAAGAAGCCTGGCTAATGGCTAAAATGTTGGAATTGGAATTAGAAGTCCAGAGTCAAATAATGCCACCACTGCCTACCCATGAAGGAGCTTATTCTGCTGTAGTCCGATGACTTTTCTCTTTTATCTGAGTTCTCCACTACGCACAGTGGAGGCTAACATCTTAAAGAGTCTTAAAGACGTGTGCCGGAGCTTGGCACGTATTTTATATTCAACGTGTTTCCTATTAGTTAAAATGTAAATCTACAACATCAGAAATGTCCCAAACTAAAACTTCCATTGACTGATCTTAAAGAGATAAGCAACTCTGTGTCAAAATAGAAATATTATATAGAACTCTAAATCATTAAGACAAAGGTCAAGGGGCAGAAGTTCAAAAAGATAAAAGTATTAATGACACAGTACCATTGATAATAGAAAATTCAAAGTTTTCTTCATATTGAAAGGAATGAGTCCTCCTAAATGCTGATTAACCGGTTAATGATCATAAACTATTAACATTGGAAAACGCTCTACCTCTCAAAATAAATGTAAGCAGCTATCACTACCACCCCATCCTCCCCCCCACACACAAGAGGTCAACTGTGGCCATTGAACACAATGAGTCCTAATCAACCCACAGTCACAAGCCCTGTCCCTAAAGGAAACCTTTGCTCTCATCTGTAGCATTCATCTCTCCTCCAGGCAGTGGTGTGTCACGGGCGTCAAAGAGCACAGAGACAAAGTTAGCAAAGTCAGTAACATTATTTTTTTAAGTTAAAAACAAACAAGGATCCAAACTGAGTGATCAAAATTCAGGAAAGAGAAAATGCTGTCTTTCAAGCTAAGCTCAAAAGAATAAACCAGCAAGGATGGTTCTAGAGGCCTCTTTCACCATTCTGAGTTCTTTACTCCTTTGTGATTCATTTTGACTCCCCAATGATATTTCTACAGAAGTAAACGGTATTTTCTACCAATGTCATGAATGAAAAATCTTAAAGTGGAGGTCGACTCAGAAAATAGAATCCATAATTTAATCAGAAAGGTAATTTCAGATCCTTAATGGAACCTCCCTCCACCTCTGGCTCAGAAAGTAACTTACTCATCATTAAAAAGGTACCAACAAAGGAAACAAAATAACACTCAAGGCTAGTTTATCTAGTCACATAATAAAATCGTTTTAAAAACTTAGA